CAGGAATCTCAGAGGAGGCTCCAAGCTGCTCGAGGTCCTGGAACTAAGGGTGCAGCTGTTTCCTTAAAATCTCTGAGGACAGGGAAGCTTCCCTCTAAGATTGGAAATCTGAATTACATATTTTTAATCTCAGCTTTTCTCTTGCCCCTAAACATCTTTCATTATACTGAGCTGCCTTGTCTAATTCCAGCCACTTGATAGCTGCCTGTGTAATAACTGTTTTTTTGGATAAGCTAAGGTGGGAGGACGCTGTTAGGTGTGTGAATGTGGTCCCCCCATGAGCCCCTTCTCTCCACTCTGCTTACCAGGAAAGTCCTCGTCCCTCCTTCTACATTATACTTAGGGACTCTGAGTGGAACCCACACATCAGGGGCAGATAAATAGAGGCTGAGCCAGATGTTCAGATGAAAACTGGATGCTTTTAAGCTCAAAGTGTTTTACTGGACTTTGTCAATGGGCGTCCTTTTGGCAAGGAGAAAGCTACTCACAGCCTAGAAAAATGGCTGTCACGAGTCAACAGAGCACTAGCTGAAAAGCCAAGGATTGACAGCTGGGACCACAGGTACAGAGAAAGCAATACAAAAAGAATTACGACAGGTTGAGTTCTAATTCTTTCCATTTTTATGAGTGATGAAAAATGAGAGCAAGCATAGGTAAATTCCTCCTAATTCAATAGTGCAGCCTCCTGGTCGTGTTGAGCTTGGAGTTAGGCTTAGAGAGGTGGTTAATGTCTGCCCTGCTTCCCAATTGCCTTTTCTGGGCATTTTATACCTAAAGTTCTATGTGTTTAGGTCCCTAGGTGTTTTGTACCTGGTTCTGGGGGAATATAATATTGGCTTGATAAGTGAAAGTAAGATAAGGGTGATGGTTGGGGAGTTGGGGTCGGGACTGATTGGTTTGCTTACCAAAGGTGTGTTTCCAGGCAAATTGTTTGCTGTCTCTAGGAATTAGCTAACCCTCAGAGAGGCAGCCTCTCCCCAAGGTCCGCAGCTCCCCCGATGTCAAAGCAGCATAAAATGCAGAGGATAAAATTTAGCAAGCTAAAGAATGTGAGTCTCTCCACCTTCATACTGAGCTCCAGATTAATCTTAATCTTACAACTGCTGGGCCTTCTCTCCAGGACTCAGGCTCCTGCCCTGTGAGTGTTTGCAGAAGTCATTCCCACCCCTGCACATGGGCTCTCTTGACCTGGAGCAGTTCTTTGCTTTTTCAGGAAACAAACGGGATGAAAGTCCAGGGCTGGAACTTCCTCCTTGGTGTGTCTGACAAGGCCTGACGTACTCCAGACTCTTTGAATCCCGGAAGTTCAGGACACACCCAACCTCGCACGCAGCGTCCAGAATACTGGAGTGTGGGTGAAAGGACAAAGTCAAGGAGCGTTTCAACATGAGGGACCCGCTGACAGAGTGTTCGGTGAGTGGTGCAGGGTGGTTTGTGGGCCTGAGGGTGAGAGGGAGGGAAGAGGAGATTTTTATGTGAATGGATTTTTAACTCCAGAAATCTGACACACCCAGAAACTAAACGTGTGTAGATATTGACTATGGTACGTAAGTTGTTGGTTTTTCTTTGGTTCAATTTAAAACAGAGCCCTTTCTAGGAAATGACAGGACAGGTTAACTGTTGTCTTTCATTCTCATTTTCTTGAAAAAAGTGTAAGTGAGTAGTATAGCATGATATTTGGATCCAGATGGTGGCTGTTGGGAAAACATTCTTAAGACATACACTAAGGGTGCCAACATCATGTGTGGAGTGGATACAAAAACACACAGAAAGTCTGCAGCCAAGTTTTGGCTCTAAGAATAAAATTCGGGAGGAAAGTTTTGGCATTTTTTTCTCCACATTGTTAAAAGTCAAAGATTGCAAGTGCTACGGGAACAAGGACAGCTACTCCACTCTGTCTGCACTCTGGTGGTTCTGAGACTGGTTTACCAGGATGTTTGCTCCAGTCCTGGGAACAAAATAGAAGATTGGTCAAAAGTTCAAAAACTCTGTAGGGTCATCGGCCATAATAGGAGAGAAGTCATTTAGGAAATAAGAAGTGACTAACACGAAGGGGGATATATTTATTTTGAAAAGAAAGCGATGAAGGATTTTTGGTGTCTTATCTCAATAAATGATGCTGAAAGTTAAAATTGGTGGCATTGTAAGCAAAGGGTTTCATTCACTGTTCATGTATTTGATAAAAAAAAAAACTAGGCAGGACAGCACCTGTGGCTCAGAGGAGTAGGGCACTGGCCCCATATGCCCAAGGTGGCGGGTTCAAACCCAGCCCCAGTCAAAAACTGAAAAAAAAAAAAAAAAACTAAGCAGATAAATGAGGGCTGCAATAAAACCATAAAGATAAAGTTCAACAGGGGAGTATTAGTTTTTTTGTTTGTTTATTCAGTGAATAAGGAAGACACATGTTCTGAAGAGATGGAGCTATAGCTGCTAATCTGCAAAAGAATCAGGTGAACTAATGAGATGATCTCATGAATGGCTAGTCATGGTAATAATGACCACAAAGGAGCCAGCTCTGCTCAGGATTACTTCTTTAAATGCAAAAATACATGCTTTGTGTAAAAACAAATTCCAACAAAACAGTTGCATGTAGATTTAAAGAGTAAACATTTCTTTAACTACCTCACTCTTAATCTTCTCTCCATTGGTAGTCATGGATAACGTCTTACAGAAGTCGTGTATTGTTTATTTATGTGTTGGTTTGCTTGTTTTTCTCTCCTTGAGTTCACTCACGTTCTGAACTGTTAAATCCTCTCCTGTCCCAACACTGATACCTTCAATGACATGTTTTTGTGCAGGGGTGGCAGGGTAGGACAGAGTTGGGACAGTGGAAGCAAAAAGTAGCCACTCCTGCTCACACACACACACACACAAGAATGTGAGAGACAGAAGAGAGGGAAAATGAGGCCAGGTTCGATTTAAGTTATAAAAATAAAAATAAAAATGAAAGGAATTGAAGGCTTAACATCCTTTTAGCACACATCAAAGTCAGTCTTCACATCAGGAGAAATGCTTTCCTTCAGCAGGCCCCATGTCAACCTACCGCCACACTTCTGTGTCAATTAGAGCTCCGCTCCCCACCAGACTGAGTAGCTCTTGGCCCAATGCTGGGCCATTGCCCAAGGACGCCTGTCCTTGTCCACAACTCTGAAGGTCATCTCTATGGGCTCATTGCCACCAGAGGCATCCGGGAGTCTTGGGGAAGCGGATATCCCTTTAGCCTGGGTTTCTAAACCCTCTAAAGTCACAGAATATTTGTTTGTAATTGTTTAATCTTAATCAAGTGTTCAAGTTGATTTCCTGGTACAGCATTAGCTTGAACTTGGGGAACAATGCTTTGTGAAGGGCAACCTGCAGTTTGGGAACATGATAAAATAGGAGAATGGATGGCAAATGAATACTTCATGAAGTCCTTAAGCTTTACAAAAAATTCCAAAGCTTTAGACACCTGCAAAATGGCCCATTCCGTAAGTTCCTAGAATTGCATAGAACACAATTCATAAAGTCTTGCTTAGCTACAGTTGTTAACCTGGCCCACACCACTGGACATGTGCATGGAATGCAGTGCATTACAAGAACGTCAATGGACAAAAATCTCTACTTGTACTAATTTCTACGTGAAATTTAGAAATTTCCTTCAATTTTGAACATAGGCAACAAACCCCAATACTACTAGTAGTGGCCATGTGACTTTGTAACCATTAAAAATCAGATATTCTATATAACACTGTAATTGTTGCAGATACCTAGAAATACTGTTCACACAGTATTTAGGAATTTTGGTAATTCTTAAGACATGTTATTTATTATTTTAATAAAAATTATTCATAATATCACAATTTTGAAAATATGTTTTTATAATATATATCAATATAATTAGTTTAATTTATAATCCTATGTTATTTCATGTTATGTATTAAAAATTATGAATAAAACAGAGCTCAGGAGACTACTAAAGGGCACCAAAAAAAAAAAAATTGTTAAATCTCTTTTCGATAGTGCCCCAGTGGGCAAAATAGATTGATAACTGGGCCATTCAAAGAGCCAGGTCAGTGTCTATTTTCAAACTATTGTCACCAGGGTAGTACAAAGTTTGCCTAAGTGCTGTACAGGGCTTTTAACTAATAGTGCGTGTCAGATCTTACTCAAAGAAAATTTTTAAACATTCTGTTTTTGAAAAGTGAAAGAATTGGCTCTGCTGCCTGTGAGCTTAGTTCCAAACCTAAAAATACGCAGAGGGAAATCGTCTTTAAATCCATGTGCAGGAAATAGGATTTAATGATCCCCAAAGAAATCAATTCTATCATAAAAATGCAGCACCTTCCAATGAAATAACACCATAGAAATCAAGGGCAAGTAACAAGGTGTAACCAAATCTTTCTTTTTCACGCACTCAGACAGTACTAGGGAGGTCCCCGTCAAAGCAAGCCTCCTGGACTCCATATGGTCAGCCCCTGCCCTCGTGTCATCACCTGTTGAGACAGCAGCAGCTGCTCCTCAGGTTGGTGAGATGGTTCAGATGCCAACCTGAGCCTCTCATCTTGGCAGTTGCTCCAGGTCCAGATGGTGACTGGCTCTAAGTTAGATGATGCTGATGCAACGGTTCATAGCTTCCGAGGGATGCTGACTCACTGCAGAGACGAAGGGGGCAGGCTGAGTCTGGCATGGGTGTCCAGGGGCCTGCAGCATCCGCTACATGCATTAGTGAGATATGTCACACCCATTCCACTTTCTTGGGCCTCATCTGTAAAGTAAGGAGAAGGCTGTGCTCTTTAATGTTCTATATCCTCATAATCTATGACAGCCACCCATGGGGATTCCAAATACGACCCAGATGACTAACAAATGCAAGTAATACCTTAATTAGTGAGGCAGTGCTTTGAAATATTGTCCCCAGGGAATCAGAAGTCACTTGAAATTGGTAGAACAGCAAAGCCATCCTGTAAGGCTTAGTTTATTAAATTTAAGTGGAATATCATGGCTCATCTAATACTATGAGAATCAGCATTATAAAAAAAATTTCCATACTAGCATCCATCAAAATGAATTTTTCTAGAATGACTATATTTAACCTTCTTAATCACATCAACTCAGAGCAGCTAGGTAAACTTGACAAGGTACTTTATGTTGTCCACAATTTACCTGTCTAATCATTTCATATGCCAATTGCCTAAATTGCTGAGGGTTTTTTTTTTTTTTTTGTAATGGCAATACTTATACAATAGAATTTGCTTACGAGTGCTGGGCAGAAACATTTTCCTAATGGCGGAAAATGTAGACCAGTTGTCTATGTAAAAGGATTTTTTTTTTTTTTTAAGGACTTGGGAATACCCCAAATATTTCACCACTAGCCCTCCCTTTATTACAGGGGAGAAAAGTCATAACAATTTTTCCTAGTAATTACTGATCCCAGGGAGATGTGAGATATTAATATAAATTCATACACAGATATAAAATCTACAGTATAGTCCTTCCTGGAAAGAACATTTGATGGAGGCAGGAGAAGAACACCAAAAATTCTCCTTCTATATAACGGTGTCCAGAACAAGTCCTTCTTCTTGTGCCGATTGATGACATTAAGAAACCATCTGTACTGCTCCGAATTCTTAAAAGTTATTATCACTTTGAATAAACGTAGGGTGATTGTACTGCTCAGCCTTTTATAAATAAACGTTTGCATACCTAACAATTCTCTAACTAAACATTTGCATACCTAACGTTTCTAAGCATAGTTCTGTCTCTCACTGATGAGGTTATCCTTAATTATTTGGGCCTTAACTGTAAATAAGAGGATTGAACTTTAGTGGTTTCCAAACTGTGCTTCAAGGAACCCCTTCCAAGTCCTCACTGGTGGCTGGGAATAGGGAGGGAGAGGAGAAGCCAAGGCCAAGGTCAAGAGATTTCACATCCTCAATACAGATATGTTCAAAGATTTTCTGATTCTACTCCCTCCACACACACAGGGCTAGATGGTCTTTGTGGGCCTGCTTTGTCTGAATATGTGGTACACGATGAAAAGTACAGAATTGCAGATTCTAAATAAGGGGCTATTCTGAGATAATGAAAATCATATTAGCAATTCTTTTATTTATTGACGTCCTCTTTATCTTAATCTGAATCAGGGTTTGTTGAGCTCCCCGCACGTTGTCCATAGGGTCCAAGATAAAGGTTCTCTCCATTGCTGTAAGAAGCACCACATCCCCCTTTTAGCTGATTGCCAGGTTAACAACAATGTCATGTACTGAAGAGCGTCCCAGCTTGTGGGAACACTGGCATTTGAGGAATGGGTTCAGGTGTACCTGAGATATGAATCCCTTCAACCCTTGAATTATTGTATTGGCAGCCTGTGTCTGGGCTTGGGCAGAGACTTGGGCCAGTTGCCTCTGCCTGGAACAATTTTGTCCATGTACCACACTGTTCTAGTGCAAGTATTTTCTGTAAGTGCCATGATGTAAAAAATGTTAGGAAGTACTAGTCTATGAAATAATAGACAATAATCTTCTGAAACCTAAAACTGGCGGCCCAAGGGTCAATGGGAGCTGGAGACTGTACTTTGAGCAGCCCCTTTAAGAGGTTGAATGTCAATGTCTTTGGGGAGACAGGCACTCTTCACTTTGCCACAGCCTCCACCATCGCCCCTGAGGGCAATTGAGTTTTCAGTCACTGCTTTATAAATATTGAGGATTGTTTGGTCCCCTAAAACTAGTCCCCTGGACATAGTATTTTTAAAAATGTGTCTAACGGAGTTTTGACACAATAAGGGACCATTATACAACACATATGCTGTCCTCAAGTTATGATGGGCCAAGGGGGCCCTTGCCTTAACACATTTCTTCTCAGAGTCCCTTCCTTCTACTTCTGGTTTTCCTAATGGGAGGTTCTTTTTTCTCCCCCCCCCACAAGGCTCCAGGTGCCCTCAATCCATCTCTCTACTTTGTCTTATCTCACTCCCACCCCCAGTCTTATACTGCGTTTGAACTGGCAGAGTGCAGAAAAACTTCCTCTACAAGCAGGCAGCCACATACTTCTGTCTTGCACAGGGCCCTGGGGTTTCTTTGTTGTCTCTGTTTTTGCTTTTCTGAGGACTGGAGAGAAAAGCAGATAGGATATAAATAAAAACACACAGCTTAATACTGGGAGATGCTTCTAAATAAATCAAATAAGAAAGCTGCAAGCCCTATAAAGGAAGCCATAAAATTTTATTGAACATAAAATTTGAATGAATGAAAAGACTTATTATGTCCTTGGATGGGAAGTCTAAATACCATAAAAAGTTAATTTTCATATATATATATGTATATACACACACACGCATATATATGTGTATGTAATGCAATTCCAATTAAGATCCCAACAGGGATTTTTTAAAAATGTAATTAGATAAATGTTCCTATGGAAAGATAAGTACCTCAGAATAGCCAAAGAAATGATGAAAAGGAAAAAATAGTTGTTTAAAGAGAGAGCAGACGTACAGTGTTAATATTTCTACACTTTGGGTAGCGAGTACATAATGTGTATCACTATTACATTCTATGCCATTATTATTTTATGAAACACAAAAAATATTTCCTAATTTGAAGTAAAAAGTTAAAAAAAGTTAACTCACTGTGTGTGAGTTAGAACTAAGTTCGGTTGCATAGTAGAAAAACCCTAAATAAGAATGTCTTTGAGAAGTCAGTGTATTTCTCTCACAGGCAAAGTCCAAACTGGAGAGTGGTGGGCTCCTGCGGTGGCCCCCGCAGATGTCAGGGACACAGGCTGCTTCTTTCTGCTCTATAATTTTAGTGCACAGTGTCCACTCTCAATGCCACTTTTTGGCATCGAATGTTATTTCCAAGTCCAAAAGGCAGAAAAGAGGACAAAGATGACTTCACTGGAGTGTTTCAAAACTTTTGCCCACATCTCTTCAGACAACAGTCACATTGTTACCTCCCTAAGTGTGAGGAAGGCAGAGAAATGTCCTTTCCCAGGGGCATGTACCCTGCCTAACGTTTGTGCATTCTCTTCTCATGACACCCAGGTGTACTTTGTGGGATGCTGTTAGATGATATAGAAAGAAAATAAACTAGGGAGGAATTTAGGAAAAATGTTTAGGTAAAAGGAGTAAACAAAGATACCAAGTTTATCATTATTATTATTATTATTATTGCAGAACTTCTCACAGTTTTAATACGCTCACCCCCACTTTCCCAGGGTATCTGTAAGGGGAGGTAGGAGGACTTACTAGTATCACATCATTTATAGACGACAGATTAGTTTTACTGAAAATAAAAATTAGAAAGCCTGGTTGCTAAATAGTAGTTTTACTTGTATGACACTCGAAGAAGAATTATTTCTTCATCAAGACACAGGCTACAAATTTGAACCCCACTACAAGTGGGTTTCACTTGTGCTGCAGAGTTTTTAAGTTTAGGAATCGTTGGCTACAATCTTTAAAAAAAAAGTTTCAGATGCAAATCCTGATTGCAGCTTTTTTGGACAAGCTGGGAGATCTTCCCATCCTGGGCCACATTTCCATGCAGCTTCTCCAGCTCTCCATCCCCACCTAGCTCCTCACCCATTCAGGTGCCTGCCTGGTGCCTGTGGGCACATGAGCGTGCAAACCCTGCTTCGGAAATGAACGCTTTTCTTGTGAAAAGCTTTGCACCTTCGCCATTCTTTTTGTGTCCCAGGCAGCTTCAACAAAGCCATGTACTACTATTGTGTTTCTACCAAGTCCTATCTTAACCTTTCGTGTTAAATTCAATGAGGAAAGGTTAACTCTTGCACAAAGATAAAAGGATGCAGTATCTATAGGATGTTCTGATAGCCTAAATATTCGTTTGTTCCCCAAGGGAGGGGCCTGGATGGGGTCATTTCCTTAGGTCCTTCCTCCGTGGCAGCCTATGTCCTTGGTTTGGCACTCTGCCCTGAGAGGCTGTCTGGGCCTGGAGGGTGTCTGTGCTCACGGGCTACGTAAAATGTTCTCAGTAAATGTGAGTTTCTTTCCTTTTCTCTTCTTTAAATGATTCCCAGCTGAATGCTGGAGACATCTGAATACCAGAAGAGACTGGCTCATTGTATAAGCAAAGAGCCACAGTACAGCACTCACACCACACAGAACTTGGGTCTTCTTATATAATCTCATTTTTTAAAAAAGACACAGGATCTGCCTCTGTTGCCCAGGCTGGAGTGTAGTGGCACGATCATAGCTCACTGCAGCCTGGAGCCCCTGGGCTCAAGTGATCTTCCTGCTTCAGCCTCCCGAGCAGTACCATCACCCTGGCTAATGGTTTTTCATTTAGTTCTAACTTTCATTTACTTATTTATTTTAGAGATGGGGGTTCTGGCTTTGTTGCCCAGGCTGGTCTCCTGTTGGTCTCCTGCCCACAAGCAATCCTCCTGCCTTGGCTTCCCCAAATGTTGGGATTAGAGGTGTGAGACACAGCACTTGGCCTAAAATCTAATTTTATAAAATGCAATTTGCTCTTATCCTTACCAGATGGAAACCCTGAGAGACTGTGTTTGAAATGTCTCATTGTCAGAGTCCCCTGCTCAGTATCAGAAAACCCTGTAGAATCAACTGCCATTTACTTTCTCTGTTTGGGCATTTAAAATCTATTGTTGTCAATGTCTACATTTACAAATATAATTTTCGGAATGACATTATGGAGTTTTAAGCCAAATGATAAAATTTTTACTTGAATTTCTTGTCTAAATTTATATATAAATTAATTTATAGAGATTTACTTACACAGTTTATAGAGACTACCTTATTAATTTATAGAGATTTACCTTATAAATAAAGGTTTGATTTAACCATATTCAAGTCATTAATATAATATTCTCATTACTGTAGTTAAATGAGACGTAGAGGGGACTAGGACGAACTTGTTGATTTACTTTCATTTTCATATATCAGCCAAGAAATGTTCACTGCAATGGTTCATGGTTTTGGGTGAGCTACAGGAATAGTATTTTGGAGTTTGTATGTGTGAGAGGGGACACAAAATGGTTATGTGTATATCCTTTAGAATGTACTTTTGCCTGGGAACAATAGGGGGTGACAGGAAACCAGACTCCCCAAGCACCCCACTACTTGTGTTTACATCCAGCTTAGTGGGTGGGGAGAGAAACAAATCAGCTTTTTTTTTGAAAAGTTCTCCAGAATCTTTCATTTCTAGGCAGAAAAGATTCGATCTTTATTTTAAGAGTTCATCCAAGCCGTCCCTGTGGCTGCACGATCATTTACGATGACAGTTGTCATCACAGCAGCGTTCTGAATTCATAGATGCTCTGCTCTGGGGAGTGCTCACAATCTTCCTGTTCATTGTTTTCTATTGTTGTTGTTTTCAGTATAATAAAGCATACAAGAACCTAAAGGAGTTTTCTCAAAACGGAGAGAATTTCTGCAAGCAGATCACATCTGTTCTTCAGCAAAGGTACAAAAAGCACATTTGCAATAAGCCATTCTTCCTCTTCGTTGCAGCAAGGGAAGTGACTGGGGGAGTTATTACAAGCTGTCCTCCTTTTCCGAAGGTGGTGTTATATTTTGGTTCTCAAGAGAATGGTTTGAAGAATGATTCTCCTGCATTGCACATTTATCAATTGAGAATCGTAAAAATCAAGGAACAACAGGAAATATTCTGCTCTGGAAGGCTCCGTCAAGCCTCTTTGGATTTCTCAGACTTGAGTTTATCCCTCTCCGGGGGTCACACCTGATGTATATACACACTATTGTACTTATCACTCTGACGGCAAATATTAGTTTACATCTTTGTCTCCCCTACAAGGGAAGATCTGAGTCTCACTTATTATTGTGTGTTGAGCTCTTACAGCCTGGCCTTTTGATTTCTTAGGTAAATATCTGATGAATGAATGGACAGAGGAATGGAAAGTCACTGTTTTTGGTATCATCTCTCAATACTAGGTATGATCATGTGTAAAGCGGTTCCCTGGGCTAAAGGAACACATTTAACTCAAGAAAGTGACAAAAATTCCTGCGTAAGGTTAGAGAACCCAAGGACTGAATTGGGTCATAAAAGGTCTTTGGAGTCCTTTCCCTACCTCTAGCTCTGTAATAAGCAACTCTAAAGAGACCTTCAGAAGAGATTGTTTATTCTTTTAAGGCAAACCATTTCATGTTACAAATACTGTATGAGTGCCATAGAACAAAGACAGCAGGGATTAACTGCATCTTGTGTTAGTAGGTTGTAGGGGAGAAAACAATTTCTTTTCTTTTACTTTTCAGGTTCTTAATTGAGACACTCTCTTCAACAAAACAAAAGTCCTAAAGACACTCTCCTCCTAAACAAAAGTCAGATTAACAAAAGAAAAACAAGCAGAAGTTAATTAACATGTGGTACCCTTCACAAGGGTGAGGCCTCAGCTCAAAGGAATTTCCCTCTTAATGCAGGGAATCCCGTACAGTGATAAGACAAAAAAGAGAGTATCTTTGGACTTCCAACAGGCAGAAAAATGTGGGGAGGTAAATCTATGAGGAAAAGAAAGGGTGATCCCAGGTGCTGCTACTTCTGAGCTCTGCTTCGAGCTGACAAGCAAGTGCTGGGAATGGGCCTATCTTTAGGTGGGAAAAGCAGAGAGGAGGCCTGACTGTGACATTTTGTTTTTAACCTTTTTTTAGCTCAATAATTCACAATATTTTTGAGAGGGATATTTTGGCTTCCTTCAAAATCAAGATCAAAGGGCCAAGTGGGGTGGCTTATGCCTGTAATCCTAGCATTCTGGGAGGCTGAGGGAGGAGGATCCCTTGAGCTCAGGAGTTTGAGGCCCTGTCTCCACTAAAAACAGAAAAATTACCTGGGTGCCGTGGTGGATGCCTGTAGTCCCAGCTACTTGGGAGGCTGAGGCTGGAGGATCACTTGAGCCCAGGAGTTTGAGGTTGCTCTGAGCTATGATGACACCATGGCACTCCAGCCTGAGGCAACAGAGTGAGACTCTGTCTCAAAAAAAAATCAAGACCAAGGGAGAATATTAGTTTTATCAGGACCAATGGATGTGGCCAAAGAGATATATGAGAAAGCTCAGACAGTGCTGTTATGCAGGATAAACCAGATTTGTCGAATGGAGTCAAAGTTAAAAAAATGAAATAAAATATGAAGTTATTCCTATCCCAGTAGTTAATTAATTAAACTGCTTTAATTCCATGAAAGGAAGAGGCGGACTCATCTGTGAGGGAGTTTGTTCTATAAGAAAATATTTGTATCAGTCTCAAAGGAAATTATTTAAAAGAAGACCAATGGGCTAGTTGCTATGTCTCACTGTTGTAATCCTAACACTTTGGGAGGCTGAGGCAGGAGGATTGTTTGAAGTCAGGAGTTAGAGACCAGCCTGAGCAACAGCAAGAGATTCCTCCTCCCCTCTGTCTCTACTAAAATTAGAAAACTTAGCCAGGCCCAGTGGCTGGCCCCTATAGTCCCAGCTACTTGGAAGGCTCAGTCGAGAGCATTGCTTGACCCCAGGAGTTTGAGGTTGCTGTGAGTGAGGCTGAAACCACTGCTGTGAGCGAGGCTGGAACCACTGTACTCTCGCTGGGGCAACATAGTGAGGTTGCCCCCTCCAAAAAGAAAGATACCAATTAACTATTCTACAAATTTTACTCATTATTGATCAGAAAACAGATCAGCTGGACATAGGACCAGGGTTGCAGTCATCTGGGCCTTGATTATTTGATGCCTGCGAGTTCAGAATTAGTGCCTGGTAGAAAACTGCAAAAATGGGAGGCAGGTGATAGATAATGTCTGCAGCAAGCAGACTCAACAGTGAGCTGAAAAAATTGGCTTGAAATCTGATGTATTGTTTTATCCTTGCCCAAATCCTGCCACAGACATATCTACTTCCTCTATACAGCCAGAGTCCTCATTTCTTACCTACCTCTCCCTAGAAGTTACTTCCTTGGGCTGCCATCTGTCCTGGACCTATGAATGTGTGAAACCCTCCCCTCGCACGTTCTAGAGTGGCAAACATGCCTAGTGCGGAAGAAACACTTGGTAGCTAAAGATATCTCCCTTCATGGCTTCACTTCCTTATGAAGAAGAATTTAGAGTTTGAAAATCTAAGGAATGCTACTAATGGGTAGTAAAATGACAAGCACAGGCCTGGATGAAAACTGCGTAAACACAAAGAACAGATCCAATGTTTTCCCTAGACCGAAACAATTCATGCTGAATATTAGGTCAATCATGCAATCGTTGCTTTCCCCAACATTCTGTAGAACAAACTTGTGCAAATAAATCATTTTCCCTTAAGTAGATGCCATTTTTCTGAGTCGCTTTATTTTGATTCCCGAGAGATGTGCATCTGCAAGGCCTCCTCCTCTTGAGCTTTCAGCTTTCTTCTCCTTCCTCAGTGCTCCGGTCATGCAGTTAACCTGAAGGGTGTTAGGTGTTTGGGGAGAACTACTTGCTAATGACACAACGCTCTATTAAATCTGTGAATATGTGGTGGCGTACTGTGTGCTTTTAGGCTGTGTGCCTCCTCGGCAGGGGGGCACCTTCTTCCCAGGGCTGGGTCATTTCTCTCCCATGGAGTGACGCGATTCTGAGGTCACTACCTCTTCCTGTTGTGTGTGCACTGAATCGGCATGATGACCATAAGAGCAAGGATGAACGGTCACAGTGTAACTGGTATTATATTCGCCTTGGCTCTCCCCATTCTGAGAATTTAGAAGTTACTTCCCTAGACATCCGGTATTACACGAAAGATTGATTCCCACCAGCTATCCAGAAGTGATCTCAGGACTTATCTCCCTCTTAAATGGGTGGGTTTGTTATGCACGAATCAATGATTCCCTTCCCCTGTATTGAAAAAATACCTGGAAAGCCAGAGAAGGGGAGTAGCAAGTGGGGAATAAAGTGGGGGTGATGAATGGGTGCAAAAATAGAGTTAGATAGTTAGAAGGAGCAATACTTGATAACCCAACAAAATGATTATCATCAGCAATAAGTTAGGGTATACTTTAAAATAACTATAAGGATGGAACTGGAATGTTCTTAAAACGAAATGATAAAAGCCTGAGGTGATGGATACCCTAACTACCGGATTTGATTAAGTCATACATATGCCTGTATCAAAACAGCACATGTACCCTATAAAGATACAATTGTGAATTATGTTCACACAATAAATAATTAAAACTAAAGAAGGAGAAAGAAGATCAGGACACTCTAGGAACTGGAGGAGCTGATTGCAGAGTAAGCAAGCTGCTCTCCCTGTCACTGGGTTGGCACCTGCAGAATCGGGGAATGTCATGCTAAGACACTAGAGTGAGAAGGTGGGGGAGACTGATGTTATCAAGCTGGCTTTTGGTTATTTTTAAACTGTAATATTCTTTTGGTTTCAAATATAGCAGCTTTCCTCTCTCTCTTGGCAGCTAGGAAGGAGGCAAGAGGAAAGAAAGGAAGGAAGAAAGGAAGGAAGGAAGGGAGGAGAAAAGCCAGTCCTCTTTCTAAAAGAAAGTATCCTGTTACTTAAGATTATAAATAAGTAATGGACACTCGGTCAAAGACAAGAAAAGTAATGGAACCCGTAAGTAAAACAGTAGTCTTAGAATACATAGAGTAGGCATTTCCACTTGCGGGTTATGACAGACAGTTATGAAGCCAACTCCAGCCAGGAGCAGAATGAAAGATACGGTGAAGGAGACACGGCCTTGAATTAGGGGTGTTTGCCACCAAAAAGGCGTTCAGTAAATATGTATAGATAAAATGAGTAAATAAATAAATAGGTAAGGGGATCATTATTATTACATCTACATTGTTAGGACAAGGTCCTTACTGTCCTTTGAGGTTACATTAATACTTCAGAGCCCTTACTTAAGAGATCACTGGAATGGGGTTCTGCTCCACAGAGTTCCGGATCAGCACATGGATACAGGAGGCAGCGTCACTACGAAGCCTCCAGTCCAGAGAAGTCGTCCTTTCCAAACTTAGCCGCCTTCTTGCATTTAGTCTAATTGGTGGTGAGAGAAAAGTGCAGTTGCAACACCATTTTCACCTGGATAGTCTACAATTTGTAGTCATACTTGGCTTCTTTTATCGAATTGGCTACTTCGGTTTCTTTTTCTGCAGTAGCAAACTCAGATTTAGCCAGAGAAACACAGAAGCGCCCACCACCTAATGCCAAAATCATCCCCATTCGCTGTGATACATTCACAGATCAGATCTCAGAGACTAAGGCACATTCTCAGACCTATTTGTGAGTGCTTGGCTCCCTGCACCCTCACCGCTAATGTTTAAACAGGCTTTGATAGGAAAATGAATTGTTCCTCTGTAAGGAAGATTAAGGTCAGGTTTTCAAATAGCAAGAACTGCTGCTTTGGCCATTAAACAAGCAAACAAACAAAAAGAGGTGTAGGTGGCCATTTGTTCAATCCACAATCCAGTGTTGATAATGCCAACAAAGGAATAACAAACCAATATGA